CCCATAATCCGGAATGATCTATAATCCGGACCTCAAAGCTAAAAACTTTCTGCGCATGCGCTGCGTTGGCACATGCATTTTACGCGTGTGCGTAAGACCTTGACTACTGCGCATATGCGTGTGCGCAAGTGCAGAATACGTTTTCGCCTGCGCGTTTAATGTATAACGGACGGTGTAAGCTAAAATTATCTAATTATCTATTTCAGTTAATGTTAATGATTACGTTATTCCTTAATCTTTGAATTGGATCCTGCTTATTATTTTTTGCAGACTGTAACAGCAATTTTATAAAAGTAAACTTGAACTTTCGATTATGTCAAATAGAATTTCCGATGCTGGAACTTCCAAAGGATCTACAAAACGAAAGTATGTTTCGATGTCCAACAACAAAAAGTGGAATTGCTGCAAAAAAATGGATAAAGACATGAAGAATGTGACAGAGAGGTTAGTGAAAACGAAAAAAATTTCGATTGACAAGTTAGTCGGTATTCTCAGCACAGCAATTAACGAGACTTGAACAGCGGAACTTTGTAACTGAACAAGAAATTATGTCTGTTTATAGAATTAAAGAGAAAGTATTATCACATAAAAAAAACGAAACAACTTACATTGAAAGAAATGTTTAAATAAGTAAACAAATAAATATGAAGCTTTTTTTTTTTTTGGTAAATTTTGATACCCTTTAGATCATAATTGTTCTTTTATTTCATAAATTACGGTCTCATATTTTTAATTTTAGAATTTCTGCATGCCATCTTACGAAATTTAAACTGATGATCTATAATCCGGAAAAATTGATAATCCGGAATCGCCGAAGTCCCGACGAGTCCGGATTAACGACTTTTGACTGTATTAACCGTCAAAGTTGTTTCTCTTCATAAGCTAATAAAATTGAGTTAACCACCTGTCTTGAAACAACATCGAATATTTTGTCTTTTTTTTTGTGGTACTTGTTTTCTTGCAGAATCAGAATTGTTTTTTTTTCCACTACACATTATTATGAAAGCATTTAAATAATTTCAAAATACGCACTTGTTTGTGGATAGCTAGCTAACTGCAGACTAAATGAAAGAATTGATTGAAAATGAGAGGGTGAGGGGATACGAGGGCGTGCACACGCTACATGCCGGCATAAAACCACAACTCATCCCATAAGGTGCCTACTCACATCAGATCACTGCTATTAACATAGACGTTCTTTGGCTGCCGCACGCAGTCGTGTGATTTTCGATGCTCTCAACCATTTCGTCCGTGCACACTGTGTGATTATTTTCGAGAAACTTGATATTCCGGGAGAGTAATATTTATTTTTAATTTATTCCGGGAGCTGGGAGATTTTAAATTTTCAGGACAATTCTGGGAGAGGTGGGAACCCTACCTCTGTGCCAAGTGTAGCAGTACAGCACTTTTTTCGAGCGGCTGTGAGGTGATTACGTGACATAGGAGTAAACATGATTAAACTAGCAATACAAATCTTGGATAAATGGAAATAAATTAGTACTATATACAAAGTTACCAGTTCATATTATGCTCCATGGTGCGAGGACGTTTAAAGGGTTGATCGGTTATGTAGTCTTTGGTTACAGGGCTGTGGAGTTGCTAAAAAAACACGTCGACTCCGACTCGATTCAAAATGAAATTAAAGTTACAAAAAAAAAAAAAAAAAAAAAAAAAAAAACCCCCCGAAAAACTGAGTTAATATTTTTATTTTTGGACTATATATATTAATAGGTATTATTTTCTATTTTATTGACATATTAATAAATAAATAAATATAAGGGAGGAGAATGGATGTGATATTTGCCATTATTGAATAAACTGCTTCATTTAGTTACAATTTAGGTAAGCTGCAAGCACTCCCAAAATTGATGCCATTCTTAGGAAGCAAGCAGGAAAAGGTGCAACGCAATGGAGAAGTACATATTTCATGATACAGTGGTTGTTAGAATTAAAAACTTTTTCAGAAGAAGTAAATAACCCTACTATATCACTAACAGAAAGACTGTGGAATGATCTTGCAGAATTGGAAACTCTTCTTTTTATACCATATATAGCCACCAAAAAGCTACAATCTGAAGAATTAACAAGGCTAGACTGGAATACTGTGATGTGTTTCTTTCTGAAATAGAGGGTTTATTGCAAAAGGAATCATTTCTTCTTCAATGAAGAAAAGAGAAACTAGTTTGCTAGACAATAGATCGTGCTGGGTTCAATATATGTAGATCCAAAACACTGAATTTTGTTGGATGATAAACAAATTAAAAAGGCATACCCCCCCCCCCCCCCCCCCCCCCCCCCCCCCCCCCCCCCCCCCCCCCCCCCAAAAACAATAAAAAAAAAAACAAAAAAAAAAAAAAAAAAAAAAAATGAACTTTTATTAAGAATGAAATTATTCTCAGAACAACTGGAGTATTCAAATCAGGACAGTCAAACTGCAGATATTCCAACTGAGTATCTATCATTCTCTTCCATTGATGAATTAGATTTTGAGAAATATTCGGATAATATTGAAAAGGTTAAGACAAAGCGAATGAAAATAAATAACCAAGAGCCTTTAGACATAAAAATGAAAACATACAAACAAGATTTATATATGGCCTTTGAAGAAATAGATAAATATGATTGGTCTTTTAGAACTTATAAAAAAACTATCCTGAAAAGTTAAAGGAAGTAGCTCTAACAGTAACAGCTCTTTTTCCTACTCAAGTCACTGTGAGACTTGAGTAGTTATTTTTGCAGACTGTAAAGCAATTTTATAAAAGTAACTTGAAACTTTCGATTATGTCAAATAGAATTTCCGATGCTGGAACTCCAAGGATCTACAAACGAAAGTTTCGATGTCCCAACAATAAAAAGTGGAATTGCTCAAAAAATGGTAAAACATGAAGAATTGACAGAGAGGTTAGTGAAAACGAAAAATTTCGATTGACAAGTTATCATATTCTCGGCACAGCAAAACGGGACTTGAACCGCGGAAACTTTGTACTGAAAGAAATTATTCTGTTTATAGAATTAAGGAGAAATATTATCACTAAAACGAAGCAACTTAAACAACTTACATTGAAAGAATTGTTTAATAAAGTAAACAATAATATTAAGCTTTTTTTTTTTTTTTTTTAAATTTTGATACCCTTTAGATCATAATTGTTCTTTATTTTCATCAATTACAGTTTGATATTTTTAATTTAGAATTTCTGCATGCCATCTTACGAGATTTAAACCGATGATCTATAATCCGGAATCGCCGAAGTCCCGACGAGTCCGGATTAACGACTTTTGACTGTAGTAGTTCTTGGATTACATATTTGTTGAAAAAAAAAAAAGAACATTAAAAAGAATTTTGATACTTTCTGTTCATTCGCACCTCCATCGAAAATTCACAAACTCATTGGTCACTAATTTTTTGCCAACCTCATATGCAAAAGGAAACTGCTATTTTCAAAATAGTGGCAAACTAAGGATTTCATACAAAAGTAATGGGTGAATAAAATTAGAAAAGCAAGAAGCATCAGTTATAAAACATTTTTTCAAAAAACAATCGTTTTCTGTGCTGTTGTTCTCTCCAAATACATAGCAATCTCTTTTTGCTGAGAAAAATACTATAGAATTCCACAAGCTTTGTACAACATTGGCATTTAACACAAATCAAAACAGATACACCTGTAAAACAGATGTTACCATATAATTATTTTAGCAACATAATGCTTTGCCTCATGAATACTTTTTCGCAGGATGCAGATCAGCAGAAAATACTTTTGCCCCCTTAATTGTACTTTTCAATTTTAAGTATCATTTATAAACTGCAAAAATGTTTAATTCAGTTTTCCGTTTTACTTCTCAAAAGCAAATTTAGCTCTACTTTTATATGCACCCTAATTTCACCAAATGTGACAATATGTGTTCTGCGCTGGTTTTTGGCACGATTTTATGTTGTATGGCAACCCTGTTGACATTGAAAAATCTTTTCCTGGAATGGTTTAAATGCTCGTTGGTTCGTATCATGTGTGTTTTGAAATGGCCTATGTTGCAATGATAGACATGCTGGGAAGATTTCAGTCGCATATTTTAGATTGTGTGGAAAGTAAATTTAGTATTAAAAGGTACGATGTTGGAGTTGTTAACGAGTCTGTTCATGGGTGTGTTTATGAGGATTGAAGTGTATTTTTGGAATTTCTGTGGGACTTTTAAAACGGAGTGTGAAATGCGGAGCTGCTATGAGAACTCAGATGAAGAAGGGCGTTTCTGATAGTTAGTTGCATTGTGTTGATTTGCAGTCAAATGGTCTAGCGGAATTTAAGATTTGGATTGTGGTTTTGGTGGAGGAAGTTTTTATCATTACTTTCAAAATTTTGAATCTCAGAAAGCATGTGATATAGCAGAATCGTGAAACTTTTGTTCAGAGACATTGTGTGATTGGCAAAATTTTATTCAGGAATGTATTATGGTAAGTGCATTTTATTTCACTTTTATTATTTTGTAGAATGTTATGTTCATTGTTTTTTTACTATGAATTTTTGTTGTTATTGTTGTTTTTTTGAATTGTTTGTAATTTAGTTTATTTGGTTGATTTGTGTGCAATGCCTAGATTGTGCAATTCGTAGATGTTTTTTTAAGTTCAAATAGAATGCTGTGTACATGGTATTCTTTGAAATTTATTGTTGTTATGTTAAATTATTAAAGCGAGGTGTGCGTAGTTCGTAGTCTAGATTGTGTAATTTGTAGATTTTTTTAAAGTTAAAATATATTGCTGTGTACATAGATTCTTGTCAAATATTTTTGGTTAGAAACTTTACGTTTTTGCTATCTAAATTTTTTGTTTTTGTTTCAGATTTTTAGCTTAAATTGTGTGTTCAAAACGTGGTTTTTGCATATGCGAAAACCAGTTTTTTGGAGACATTTTAGGCTTAAAGTTTGAAATGTAGACAAAAAATTTAGATAATAATATAGCAGCGTGGAGCTTCTCGCAAAAAATGTTTGGCAAGAAATTTGGGGACCTAAGGGCGCATATAAGAGTAGTTCCGCAAATTTGATTGAAATACTGCTGTTTTCATTTTTGGTTACACATATTTCCAAATAATATGTATTTATTTCAGTATTACTTCTCATATAAACACCTTTTTTTAACCATATTTCAGATTCTTCATGCTTCTTGGATCTGTTTTTGGCTTTGTTGCTTCAGATATAATCAGTAAAGTGAATATTTTGGAAGAATATCGGCGGTCTGAAAATGCCAATGAATATGCTACAGTTCAGTCGATGATCGAATATGAAAGTTCGAATGGAATTACTAAAGATACCAGCCGTCCTTCTGGTTCAAGAACTCTGCTGCGCTTGCATCGATCCTTGGAATTTATTATGTCGTTTATGCGTGATTTCAGTACTGCAGATGCTGATGCAAAAAGCTCGGCAATCGCACAAAAATGCTATAAAGAAACATTATCTCGATATCATCCTTGGCTGATTCAGAAGGGGGCTTATTTTGCAATGTACACCTTACCTGCCCGGCAGCAATTTATAGAAAGAGTATATGGTGGGCCTTGTGATGAAGAGACAATCCAGTTGTATGAAAAGCTTATGGGTGATATAGCTGATATATCCAAAAAAGTATATGATGAAACCAATAAGCTGTATGAAGCAAATAGTCTTTTAAATTTACCTTAATTTTAGAGATACTTTTTGCCATCTAGTTTGCAAATTAATTTTGTGATATATTCTTATTTTGCTACCAATGCTTTCATTGGAAAATGTAGCAAAATTTAATTTGTGCAGATCTTTCTACATAAAAAGAAGTACCTTTCTCAAACATATTTAAAAAAATGCTTAGCAGCTTAAAAACTTATTACTAAAAATGCTAATTTATATTATTATTGAAATGTATTTGTTATTTATGACTCTATAGAAGATATTTACAGTATTGAGCTTATATTTATTACTTGCTTTAGAACAAGAGATTCCAATAATCATAGATTTAAGAAAAATTGCAAATAGAAATATGTATTCACCTTTGTTTGCTACTTTATGTACAGATTTTTGCATTTATTGTACTTAACACTTTTTAAAGTTTGAATCTCGTGTAGTCCTGCTGCACAAATTTATTGATAAACTGACAGTTTTCTGAACAAAATGAATTTTAGTGCTTTCTGCTCATTCACACCAAATTAAGTTACATTCCTCATTCAAATTAAATTCTTATAAAATTAAATAAACTAAAACATTCCTTATGCAAATTAAGGTACAGTTAGAAATTTGAGTATTTCTCTTTTTTCAATTCTATAATTATCTAATAATAAGGAGGATGTAACTAACTGAAACAGAAAATAACTCATGTAACTATTTCAAGCATTTAATTAATTTTTCTTTTAAACTTAGGTATTTTAAAAAATCAGAAATCCTTTTAAACGTTTTCAGAGCTTTAAAAGAATTTAGATCTCAAAAGTATATATTTACAATAAGCTGTATTACCTTTTTAATTAGGTTCAAAATCAATTTCTTGTACAAATAATAACTGAAATAAACTTTTATATTAAATCTGAAAAATAATTCATTCAAATAATGATTAGATGGATATTTCTCATTGGCAGAATAATCAAATAAATAGTTAATTTGCTTTAAGAAGGCTTTTATTTAATACATTTTGAAAATCATAAAAAGTATACATATGTATTTTTTGTATGCTTCATCTTTTTCTCTGCAACGTAACAAGATATTATGTAGTGGCTATTATAGTTTCTTTATAAAAATAAGTAATACCATGCATTAAGGAAATGTTTATTTGTAAAACATCCTTTTAGTAAATCTTGCATATAGTATAACAATATATTAATAATTTAGTATGATTCAGACTATTCAAGCTTGTCTGATAAGTGAATAGAATCAACATCTATACCTACATGAGTTTATGCTATCTATCTCGTATTTTAATATGAAAAGATATTTCTAAATTTGAGCTGTACTTTAAAAGAATCTGTTTAATGTTTTTAATGGTATTGTTAAGTTTGTAACTTAAAAAATACTGTGAAACTTTGAATGCATTCTGCAGTGTAACAGAATAGTTTGTACAAACCTCATCACAAATGATGAAAGAGGTGAATTATTGTTTCACAGCCTTTACAACACTTGCTGAATGTGTTGTACTATTTATATAAATAAATTTTTAAAAAAATTAAGCTTGAGTTATTATTCTTAACACAAATCAAGTCTTTCTCTGCCCGTGTATATTTATTTTCATATGCCAAACATATATTTGTTATGTACATAAGATATTTATCCTAACTGTATTATATTTTTCAATTAATATAATTGGCACATGTTATTGTTCTAGAACTAAGGTCTTTTAAAAAAGATTGTAAATAAAACTGAAATAATTGTATATTCATATCAAAATATAAAGCTTTTTTATTTTATCTAAGTTCAAATTATACAACACTGACATATGAAAAATTATATTTTATTATTTTAAAAATAGATTTACCATCATATCAACTAATCTTTTTCTTAATTATGAATGTCATGCATGTGCATTAGAAAAGTATTTTAATATTACACTTTTCATTGTGCACTAGAGATTTATAACAATTTTTTTTATTGCAAAGGAATATCAAATAGTTTGATTGAAAGATAATTGAAATATGCTGATGAAAGATTAAATTATGTGAAAATAAAACACAAAACAGTTTAAAGTTAAAAAAGTTTACCATGTATTATTATTTTTTAAGTTTAACATATTTTTATAAAATTTAATTTCATTTTATTAAATTTATACACAAATATCGATAAATTAAAATATTAAGTATTGTTTGTATTAATTTCTATATAGAAAGAGATTGAACTCATGTTTGTTCTGAAAGACAAAATTTCTGTGTATTACGAGTAAAATTAGTCCTTTTGTAATACATTTAGCTGTTCTTATATTAATTCAGTTACACGATTATTCTAAGATATTAATGTTTAGACAGTTCTTAAAATATGACTGATTAAATTTTTTTAAAACAAAGGTCAAATTTGGAATGATAAACTGCTTGGAATAATAGAAGGGATATTTAAATATTGCAAATGTTTAAAGTATTTAAAAGAGAAAATGGTTAATGCAAGTAACTTCATCTCACTCAGTTCATTTTAACAAAGAAAACTGCTACTTATGTATTATTGCATTCATCTTAGTAGAAGTCGCCAAATTTTCAGATTCGGCCAAACTATGGCAACCATGCACATAACCATTCTTCAGGCAACCACCAGTCAAGCAACTCGCAATTTCTGTAAACGTTCTTTTTGTAGTATTCCAAGTTCCATCTATTTTTAGAAACAAATCAAGGTATTTTTCTCTTAATTTTAATATACCAGCAATAGAAGAAAATGCAGTAACTTTCTGCAGGAATATAGAATTTTGTTCCTCAAAAGGGAACTCCGAGGAGATGCATTTGGTAGATAGTTGGTGCTGCTGTGATTTGAGTGATGTCAAGTGAGTGATTGTCTGACCTTTTTTAAAGTGAAAACTGATCACTATGCACAAAAGAAATTACAGAAATATTTAGAGACGAATGTAAGCATTTTATTTTGACTTTTTATGTGTTGATAATGTTTGCTGACTTACAATAATTATAAATATTTCGGGAATCTTTTTGCATAAAGTCATAAAAACAACCAACTTGCATCTGATAAGTAACTTTTACCTTTTCATCTTTTTAGAGATGGTCAGATTGCACCAAGGTAGTTGCGTTAATACGTAAGTATCAGAAAATTTATATGTCTGATTCTGTTTTTATATGAATTTCACCTAAATTCAAAATAAATAGTATTTCATTTTCTTTTTACACATGTCATTTAACATGAGTAAGCCAAGCCAATTTTTAAGAAATTTTTTTTGGCTAAATTCTTACAGTATCACCGATAATTGGTGGAAACTAATTTAATAATCTATTGTTTGAAGATATTGATGAACTATTAGTCACCAAAGTCCTAATCGAAAATGAAATACTAAAGGCTGCCCTTCAGATTCGCAATCTCACAAAATGAAGAATATGTGTTAGTTCTAAATGCAGATTTAACAAAAATGTCTGGAACTAGCCAGAAAATTGGCTAATCATTTTATCAAACATGGCTCTAATGTGATATGCCCTGGGAAGTTTCGGTGTGAACTGCAGTTGGTGACGACCTCTTAATATAATTATATACCGACCTATCAAACGCAGAAACACAATGTTAACTGAATTCACTTGTAAAACCAGTGAAACATCACCACTAGAAAAGATCATGCTGATTTTGCGGAAAGATGGTAGAAAGAATTTCATTAATAGAGGAAGGAGATGATGTCAACAACCTTTCTAGTGATAGCAGTGATGTCTAGTATGCAGATGTGGGGGCCATTTATTGTCAGGAAAATATGTAAAAAATTTTTTATTTCAAATGTATGCTTTAATATATTTTCATTACATTTCATGACATATTTCTGTTTTCTTGAAATAAAATAAACTTAAACTGAATACTTTCAGATGGTTTTCTATAAATCATTTTTGCTGATTTTTTAGATTCAGAACCAAATTATTTTCTATTCTATAGAAACATCTTTTTTTATATGTATTCTTTAGGAACCTGTATATCATCTAAAAGCATAATTAAGATGTATGATGAAACCTTTAGAAATATGAGAATTTTTGTAGTTGATAATCAAGTGCAAAAGTAGAAATTTCTCCCATAATATATTCCATTAGACATGTATTTGCATTCTAATGAATTAATTTTGAATATTGATCTTTTTTTAATGTATGAATATTTTGTTAATAAACATCTGATATGCATTTTTGAAATTAATTTGAATATTGTTTTATATTAGTATTTGAATATATGAAGTTTTTAGAAATAGAAATATGAGAACTTTTGTAGTTGATAATCAAGTGCAAAAGTAGAAATTTCTCCCATAATATATTCCATTAGACATGAATTTGCATTCTAATGAATTTATTTTGAATATTGATCTTTTTTAATATATAAATATTTTGTTAATAAACATGATATAAATTTTTGTAATTAATTTGAATATTGTTATACCTTTATTTGTATTAGTATTTGATGTTTAAAACATATTTATTGAAGTTTTTGAGAAATATTGTTATTTATTATTTAAAATGTGATTACTTATGTGTTAATTTCAAATTTTAACTGAAAGTAAATGAATGTGCAACTTAAATAAATCAATAAGAAAACATTTTCTGTCTTTCTTTTACATAACCTTTTTAATTAAATTAAAACACTTATGAATTTTAGGTATGTGAACGATGAAGTGTAATGCTAGAATAAAAGTAGAAAGTCCAAGTCATTATATACCTTTAAATTTACAAATGATGTCAAGATTATAGTTAAAAGTAATTGCATTTTTAACAAAATAATGCACTATCTTTATTTTAATGGAGAGGATGTGATCAGTTTTCAAGAATATGGTATTTTGTAAGGAATTTTGGTCTCTAAGATCAGTAGATGTAATGTTACCCAATTTTCTTTTTGGGATTATTCCATAATGTATTTAAAGTAACAGATATTTGCAAGTAATTCTCATAATAATGAAAAACTAAGGAGAAGAATTGGCTAGAAATCAGTTCATTCTGTAGAGGATGTGGAAACATCTTTTTGCCTATATGTGTTGTTTCATTTACACGTGTGCATAGAAGAATGGTTCATTAATTGTGATTTTCACCCAAAGAACATCTGCTGATATTCAACTAACTTTTGGATCTTCCAGTCTTGAAATAGACTTCTTTAACGGAGGGATTCTGGATTTGGCAAGTACTAATTGAATCTTCACACCTCTTTCAATTTTGCTCCATATATATACAACTGATGCATAAGCTAAACCAGATGCATCACAAAATGTATGCAAACTTACTGAGGAGTCATCATCAATCAATATAAATCTCGGAATTTTCCCAAATTTTAGCAAATGAAGTTCATCAAGCCACTTTGAAAACTGCTTTGCCAAATCTTTTGGTATTTCAACATCCCAACTCAGTTTTGATTTCCAACTTTCCTGCAGCCATAGTTTTGGTAAAAGAGGCACTGGACTAGAAAATCCAATGGGATCGAAAACTTGCTGATCCAATGAGAGCAAAATTCTAGTTATCGGTTGTTTTGGCTTAGTTACTTCATTGAAATTACAAAATAAGATACCATAACGATCCCAAAATACACTCAAGACAGGTTGGTTCAACTAAAATTCCTGACCTATTACATTCAGTACACTCCCACCCTCTCAATTCGAATTTGGCTTCGGCGATAAATTCGGTAGACACTTTAACAAATTTATGCATTTCTTCCTCTGAGTCGACTGAAGTAATGCAGTTATCAACATAAGATGATTTTCTTAATTTTTCAGCAAAATCTTTAGCTTCCTGTTTTACATACACACTATGATGTTTGATAACAGCACCAAGAAAGAAAAGGCTGCATATTACTCTGAAAACTACTCTTTTATGTTTAAAAACTTGCAGCGAACTTTTAAATTAAATGTTAACTGTTTGTCTTTTTCATGTCTAGCAGTGCCGCAACTAAACACTGGACGTTTTTCCCAAGTGAAGTGAACTGATTCTTGTGTGTTAGTCTCCCTCGTGCCTGTGCTGTTATCGCTAGCGTGTAGAAACGCGGCGTGATATGTTTTGGTAGCATGCTTTTTTTCTTTCACTATGTAATTGTCAGTAAATGTGATTATTTATGAACATGCAGAACCAATCTGCCTTAATTATCACGCCCAGGTCACCAATTACGGCAAATTGGTTCTGCATGTTCATAAATAAGCTAAACTTATTCAATTAATCACATTTATTGGCAATTACATAGCGAAAGAAAAAAGCATGCTACCAAACTGTGAGGTGTTAATTTAAGTTCTTTAGCAGTAGACTTTAGAATGCACGGTCTCTGTGAGCCAGAATCAATCAAGGCTCGCAGTGGACGTTTCTTTCCATCTATAATCACTCCCATTATCAGAGTTTGAAGATAAACTTCCCAAGGGAACCTGGCGTATTAGATGAAACATTATCTTTTTCATCTTTAACTTTCGGAGGAATCTTTGGAATGATTTGTAACTCCTTCGAGGCAAGAGTCTTTGGCTTTTGTTTAAATTTCGGGCACAATATAACATCTCTTTTATCACATAACATACAGCGAAAATTACTTTTGCAGT